GGATTTGCATTCGGAGCGGTTATAGCTCTATGCGGCATTCTGTTTCAGTTATGATAGTGATAATAGTAGCAATGAATTTCGTATTTACTTACCAGCAGTTACGATAACTCATTACGAGTTAATGCCTCTCTGTTATCACCAATATCATATTCTTCCTTCTTTGACATTCTTCTTTCCACGCAGCTAATGATAACGGCACTACGAATCATCTGCCTTCATGAAGTTATAACTTCGATTATTGGTGTGGCGAGCACAAAGGTGTCGGGTTATCCCATATTGCCCAGTGATTTCTAGGAGATTGAATTTCGTACCAGTTATAGAAATGGTGGAAAATATTCATCGATTACGATAAATTTTTTCATAACAATTCTATGCGTTGTTAGACACGTCTCGCATCCATTAACGAGTTTGTACCAACATGCAAAATGAGTCATATGAATGAATATCCATCCACACGAATGAATAAATGAATGCGATCATATACCTATTATAACATATCTGCTCGTATCCAAATTGTAATCAATAAACATATTTCGTCATATACCTATNGATGTTTTCTAATGTATATGTAACTGTATTTTGTATAATACAGTGTTTCTTGTCATAATGATAATGATATGATAACAGTAATATCAAAGATGATAATAATGATATCAATCAAAGTAACAGTAATACTAACAGTAGAGGCAGTGCTCCTCCTACCTGCATTGAGTCTGAATGACGCTCTCAAATATTTGCAAAAATTAATCACCATCCGTCCGTACCTCCCTCCTCCCTCGCTCCCTCCTTCAATTTATTTCATTCATTCACAAAAGCATTCAGCTTCAGTGATTCAACTATTTAACCGCTTAAAATTGAGCCGAAAGTATTAGTGTTTGATTGTACTCACTTACTGTTACAACTCTGACTAATTAAGATCAGTTGTTAAGTGAAGTGAATATCAGTGTTTTGTCCCAAAACATCGAAATCCTCTTGCATAATCAATATATTCTCGCTTCATCCACCCAGTTGCCTCTTTATTCATTGTAGCCATTATAACGGCTATTCTGAGCCATTCAAATCTAAGCTACTCATCCTAATCCCCCATATTCATATTGATTTATTTTGTGCTCACCATTGTGAGCTGTTAAAGTCTACATCTAAATATTTGTATAAGTTATTATTGAATACAATTCATTCGTTATTCGTGATATTACACTTTACAAGCAGTGAATATCACTCAACAATTGATTCATCTGAATCGCCATCGCTATTCTCGCATAGAAATTTATCGGAAAGTCGCTTTTTGTGTGTGTTGCTTTGATAGAATCGAAGCATTACTCATTGCTGCTACCCACATATAATAAGTGTGCATAAAAGTTCATCATAAATCAAAAATNATTCATAATCAAGTAATAAATTCACTTCCTCTCAAAATCACATTTAAATAACCAGTCTAGTCATCGAATTATTCATTATATTTTGAATCGTTTATTCATTATTTTCATTGGCATTCTTCGTTGAACGCATCCCACCCATTACTGTCATCAATAATATTTCTGATATTATTACTATTATTATTAATATTGCTAATATTGTCGACTCATCCGTTCGTACACCTCTTCACTACGTTCAACAGCACCTCATAAAACATCAATCACTGCGATTCATTCTCTCTCATCAATTAATTAAAAAAATTTCTCTCATCTCTAAATCACGAAATGGTTTCAGCGAACAGTGACTCTACCCTAATGTCTTCTCCATCAGTAACACCTTCATCAGCCTCTGAACAACCCCCCTCCGAGAAGAGCACTGATCCCACCAAACACTCTAACGGCGTTGTTCCGAACGGTACTGATAAGAGCACTGCTGACAACACTGTCGTCAAAATGAGAAATAAGACACCGCTGACAGAGACTCAAACTCCGGTTTGTTCTATTGTTTGTTGCCTGTTGAATGGTATGAACCTAGAGTGGTAAATGATTTAATGATATGAAATGATTAAAGGCTTCAAATGGTGATGGTGCGACGCTGTCAGTTCTACAACGTGGTCTCGATGCTCTCAATGAGATCAGTCCCGAGGTGGACGATGGAGCTGAAGGTTGGCATCAGTGCTTTCATTATCAATGTCAGTCTTTCGTTGTTCTTATCTGCTCAGAGATTTAATCTGTTAAGAGATTCGAAAATTGGACAGCCAACTGGATCATTTGAATACGTACATGGGTAAAGTTGAAGAGAGGATAAAGGCACATAACGAAAAGTTGATGGACACGTTGAAACATCAAAAGGAGGAACGCGAGAAACGAAGGCGTTCTTTTCATGAGGTCAGTTGTTTGCTTGGTCGACTCGACCTGAAGCTAATTTTAGGTGATTCTTATTCCATTATTTCAGAGAGTCGATTTGGATTCGAATATTCAGATCACTTTTACGTCCGATTATTTTTGAGAATTAAACTTTTGATATGATTAGTAATCGTCGGGGAGCAAATTAGTAATCGACCGAATAGTAGCTCGAATAGAACCGAACCTTTGAACCTTGAAATCTCGATCAAGACTTTTTGACCGAATACGACCTCACTGCGATTCTGAACCTAACTACAAGGCCTAAGGCAGTTAGCCGGAAAAGGGAACCCGTCGCAAAACAATCCAAAAATCGCCTTCAATTGGGATCTCAGTACTCTGCTGAGCACAAAATATGATGATTCTATATCTTACAGTTGCATTATGAAATCGCTTTGTTGGAAAATGTTCGTATGAAAATTCGTATGAAAAAAAAATCGCTCCAGTTCTTATGAAAATCGCTCTCTAGGTTATCGCTTCTTTGAGTGGCCTAGATATGATGCAAACGGGGTTTTTTCATTGTAGTATTTGAATGAGTCATTCATTCGATAAAACGAATTCAAACGCCACAAGATGATTGCGGTCATCCACTGAACGCATGTGAATGAATAATCGCATCGATATCCACCCATCGTTGCTATGAATATTCAAGAAACATCTATCTATCCATCTTCCATTCCCCTCCAATTTGTCGATATTTCGTCATATTTATGTTTCAGTCAAAAACCTGGAACTCGTTCCGACGATAAAATTCATCGCGAACAAAATGAAAGAAGTGCTTGGTGAAATGAATTGAAATCATTTCAAACCATTCCATTAAACACTCAAAATTTATTACGTTATTCAGAGATTTTGCTGTTTCTGATTTTTTGTGTTACGATTGGAACAGAGAATTCTTGTTCTGTGTTTTGAAAAATTTTTTGCAGAATGTTGAAACAATTTCAGTGAATGATAAGTTTTTTGTTTGTAATCGATAATTTGATTTCAACAAAATTTTATGTAATCGGATTGATAGATGACGATGACGATGCACAAGTGAAGTTTCTTATCCACATAAAAACAGTTTCTTTGATTTCAATGCGATAGTTTATTTCTTTGGCAGTTTCAAATGCAAATAATTCGATTTCTCAACCAGTTTTAATGAAGCGAACGCATTATTATTCCATCAAATTTTGACTCATTGAAACTGTTTTTATTGAGAATTTCCTTCCACTCATTGCTCATTAATCCAATTCACCTTTAGTTGATTAGAGTGAGCAGCCCATTTATGGAGAGAGACTGCATTCATTCATTCATTCATTCATTCATTCAAGATTTTCACAATGACTCCTCACTCCACCATTATATCATAACTTCACAAAATTTTTCTAAACTAGCTTCATACAATCTGCAGAAGCAATTAAACGAATAATGAACGATCGAACGAAGAAATAATAATGCCATTAAACGAAAAAATCTATTCGAAATATTGCATTGCTCCCATGTTCAAGTCCCATTACGTTTCATGACTTCAAGTTCGTTCAGTTAGAACGTTTCCATTTCACATTGAATCTTTCAAAAATGGGTCGATTCATTAATCCAATCAATTAATTGTTTAGTTGAGTTAATTGCTCCAATTGAGCAAAGTGAAATTGAATTGAATTTTAATGCGATATGAAAGATTCTGGAATGATATGACACTTTGAATGGCTCTTGTATTTGTGACGGTTGATTTGCGTCGTTCATGTAGTAGTGCACTGTAAATTGCATTTCTTTGGGAGAGTGCACAACAAATTTTTCGATTTTATTCGCTTCAATTAAGTGATTTTAATGAAACACTTGCAGTAATCAGTGCAGTTTAGTAGTTTACTTTTGCAGTTGAAAATTAAAACTTATCAACGTTCAGTCACGAATCGAACAGTCAGTTAATTTCTCAGTGCATTTCTTATAAATGTACTCTGAATTTTTGCCGATATTACTCCACAATCACCATTAGTGCTATTCGCCCTCTTCTCGCATCTAGCAATCCAATAACTTTTCGCTGTAATAAACTTTCAAATGACTATCCATTGTAATAATGACCAAAATTAGTGTAAAACAGTGTAAAATTTCTTCGATAATTTGTGCTATAATGATATTTCTACAAAACATCTTCAACGAATTGATCTTCAGTTGAGAACATCTTCTCAGTTTTATCGAGGAAATGGCAATAAATTTCGATTTTGTAACGATATTGTTTAGTATTGATTCAGATTAAGTAAAGATCAATGTGAGGGGGTTCGTCTGGGATAGTGTTTGTTTAGGTGTGCAAGTGGTTGTGTGAATGAATATTGAGTGAAAAAGCTTTATTGTGGAGGGTCGATGTGTTATATGAGGGAAAAAATTATGCAGAAACTAGTTTTTATTATTGTATTCAAGTGCCATTTGACGACATACATAATAATGGTCCATTCGAATAGTTATATCTTCTACCCGTCTACCTTTGCATATCACAAAACAGTTCACCTGTGCACAATGCAATAAAATTTACCTGTGCACAGTATAATCAATAGATCACAAACACACATCAACTCTGATCATTATACAGATAACACGAGTAGTTTTTAGCGGTGTTCGGGAAGGAATGAAGTATTTATTCAAGGAAATGAAAATCGTTCGATGAATGAAGCAGCAACACTTTATGATGCGAAAATCATTCTTATCGATCTTTTTTTGCGGATGTTTGAGTGTTTTGAAATCGTTGAATTTAGTTTTTACTTACATTCGGCGGTCGATTCACATTTTCAAATCATCAAAACGTTTTTTTGTTGTTGATTTCATAGAAAAAAACACGCGTCAGAAGAGTACAGAGGTGTGGTTGCATGCTACTAGATATGTTCAAGAAGGGATCAGAATTGATTGATCATTAATTGATTTCGATTGAAACATCAATTGGATGATTTTTTGGTGTAGTGCAGGTGAATGACCTGTGGTGTTATAGTCTAGCTTCTGTCATCTGTTCAAACAGTATTCGTATTTATTGAGCACACTCAGTTTCATCAGAAACGTCTCATTTCGCAACCGCATCATTAAAATCAAATTCTATAATACGAACGGTTATGACATTTATCAATCAAATTCTATGTGTCATCACCAACACTGTCAAAAAAGATCACTCATTTGACCATTTCGGGAATAATCGCATTAAAATTTCTACAGAAGTGCCGTAAGAAATTAGATTTGATAAGAAATGATAACTTTTTTCAGCGTCTTCAACAGAGTCAACAGGAAGATGACGATTTTCAACGTCAACTGTCATCGATATTGAACCGTGTCGATATCTCAAAGAATCGTGCATCTATTTACGATGTTATTAGTACTATGGAAATACCGAAGGTGAACGGTACCTCGAATGATAATGCGACAAATGGGCATTAATGGGGATCGATGATAAGCAGTGATAATGATGAGTGATGCGGATCGACACTTGATCGATTGCGAGTCGAGGATATAATCAACTGAGAGTGGTGATTATTATCACTGATTCAGATTGAGCGTTTCATTGATTCGATTAATTTCATTGATTGATTGCTTCGTTGATCAGTTCTTTTGTTTGAATTATTAACGCTATTCTTATTTTTCTGATTTCGATGAAATGAAATTTCTCCTGATTCATGAAAATTTCATGGATTTTGTAAATTTATACCAGATGATTATTTGTTGTTCTGTCCTCTCTTCGATTCATTGCTTAATTGAACATTNATTTACTGACAAAGAATTTTGTTCATAACAAACGATATAGCAAATACAATAACTGAATTTATTCGAGCGTTAAGTTCACTTTATCTATTCGACATTCATCGGCCATACTTCGAAGACTTGTTATCCATATGTACGTGACTAAGGATCGTTTATGATGCAGTCAAAATACTCCAAAAAAAAGAAATACCAAAAAGAGAACATTTCATTTTATTGTGCTCAGTTCACTCAAACATACATATATCCGGTTCTTCTTAGCAGATGTGGTTTCTGTTTATTTCACATTGGTAACTTCATTATTGTCATTCATATTGAACTTATTATGTCTATGGTTATTACTAATATTCATTTTTGCTATGATCATTACTCTTGTTATTTTAATTACTCAACAGCACTGGTTTTTCACGTTCAAGTGTGCTTATTATCCTCGAAGTGCGGATTTATTACACTATCGCCTATAATTGTTACAGTTACTATGAGTATCATGATTAAAACGGTGAATTTGCTGAATAATATTTTAGTTATGTGGATGGTGATTACTATTACCATTATATTATAATTGCTTGAAAAGATGCTATAGAAAGGAATTATGAGTAAACATTCATTCATATATAATATGAATATTGAATTATTATGATATGTAAATGACGAATAAACAAATATAACATGTGATAAGTGAGACCAGTTCTTTGGGACTATCCTCCAACTGAGCGTCTAGTTCAGTTAGGGGATAATTGCGAAGAATAACCGATGTTTCGCATGTGTCTAGTCCGGAACGTAAGCCGGATTCTGAGCCTGAGCCTGAATTTAAAGCTGAGACTGTCTATTCGTGGTCCACTCCTTGAGCATAAGTTTATCGCCACCTAGGCAACTACTGCAAGATCGATAATCTTTGCAAGTATCGCAACACCGGATCACTTATTTGGTGTAAAACTCCCGAATTATGATATCAGAAATTGAATTCTCAAATCGAACACTTTCTGTGATCGACACAAAGTAAATGGCACAACGAGGTTGGATAGATAAATGAAAAATTTTTTACTTGAATATTAAGCGTGAAATATTATATTATACATTACAAAGTAATTACAATATTTTACAACAATAATATCAAAAACATGCAATTTAAATTCATATACATCAAATATGACCAATATCGCTTGAATTCAAATCGATATACATTTCATTTGGCTTATCTCGTGACAATATTCATTGGAAGTAATGGGCATCAGAAGGCGCCAGAACATCCAAGTGTAGTTGCTGTAACCGTTGATC